TTCGCCTCGAAAGGGCACATAGGTGGATTAGATGGAGAAGGTGGATGAAAGGTTAAATAGGTGCCAGTGGGTAGCCGGAAGGTGGGTGTACTCGTTAGTGTGTGATCCCGCCTACCGTCCAATGCGGTGGCTGGTTTCCCAGGGGACTCCCTAGCCTCTCGGAGCCGGCTTTTGTGGTCCCTTCTCCTTCCCCACACGTACGTACCGTGCTGCGTCGTATACGGGGGCACACTCTTTTCCTTTCAGGAGGACGACTTGGTGTGCCGGTCGGTTTTGTGCATCGTGCGCGCGATAATAGTCACCGTGGGTTCCCCGGTTACTGCGCGGCGGTTTCAAGAGTGGTTCTCTTCGCTCGGCGACCGCACGCTCCGTTCGCTCGCTCACGGTGCGTCAACGTGTCAGTCCTTGCGATCGAACGATCGAGGCCGGATCGATCGTCCTCACGGAGGATCCTGAGACCACGACTGGTCCCGAAAAACGTCTCCATTTCTCGTGTTCCATTAGAGATTCGAACGTCGATCCTTCGACTCGCGGATCGTCGAGGCTGGATAGTGATATCCCGTAGAGATATTAGATCGATCGCGTTTTTTTTTTTTGTGACGTTCCGAGTGAAATAGACGGTTGATGGTACATACTCGATTGTATGGTACGGTATCGATGACTAGGTTCGTTCTCGTAGCGGAACATTTCTGTGACACGAACTGAATTCTGGCTAGTTTCAGTGAATAGTTTCGAATTATACGGTCGGTAGTAAGGTAATCTAGGGGTGGGGTAATGGTGGTGAATCGCGGTGGACATTTATGCTCGACGGGTGCTTGATCGCCGGGAAAAACAGAATGCTGTTCAAGGGGAATAGCTCCAGACTGGAGTTGTTGATAGGGAAGATACAGGCTCACAAGGAACCCTCTCAGGATGAACACCACAAGTCTAAAGGTACAGACGCATTCGTTTACTAGTAAATTGCGTTCTAACGATTTCTGTTTCACGTATGTGAATCTCAAGATATAGTCAATTTCTTTGTACATGTATATACGTATTTTTTTTCCTTCTTCGATTTCAATCTGATTCGAGCAATCGACGGTTCACTATGTGACCGCTGGTAAGAGGAATTTATAATGACGGCTCACATGGTTCGCCGTGCAATAAAATTTTTCAACGGAATTAAATTCGAGGCATCGACGATTACCAACCGATTGCTCGTATTCTAGACCTTCTCGAGAATGTCATCACAAGGAATAATCGATTCGAACTTGCTAAACAGAAACGTATGGTTATCAGTTTTTCTTTTAAACCTTTCGTCGATCGATTTGTTTCGTTTCGATTAAACGTGAAGACGATCTATCCGGATCTATTGATCAGGGGTTGAAGCTATCGATCGACATATCAGAATCGCCAAACAGTCACGGTGATTTTCCGATAAGGAGGTAGTAATGGGCGAAATTTATCGATAGCTTTGTATATCAATATTTGTCTATCGGTATATCGCTAGTGTTTATCGACCTTTTAGAAACTAATACTTACAGGTATCGGTAATTTTTGTCAATATACCGATAATTTTGACAAAAGAAAAGCTGCTGCAGAATAATATTCTCTTGAATATAAGCAGCTTATTTTTTAGTTGGTAAATTGAAAGGATTTTCCTATCGATACTTTTTGAATAATATTTTTCATCTATCGATATTTAACGAGAAAAAATATATGGATATTGGAACCAATATCGCATATCTCTATGAGTGGGTAGGGGGAAGGGGTAGCGCGAGATCGGCTGTAAAAATTTCAGGGGCAGAAGATCATCGTCGTCACCGTCGCGCCATTGGTGGTTTGTAAATCCGCGCAAACCACTGGTGACTGTCGGGAGTTCGCGGTCCGTGCACATAAGTCACAATTAACGAACGCGTTAAGTCGGCCCCCTATTAATAAGCGACGTCGAAGCGTTCCTATAAATAGCGACGGGCACACGAGGTGACAACACATTACGCGTCCACACACGCGATGGGAAGGCCTGTACGGGCCGTTACGCACACGTCCAAAAGACACAAAACACAAATGCAATACGGCTGGCATCGGCAGGTCGCAGAAACAGAGCTGCCAGTGTTAAGTGCGACTATTTTCGCGTCGATGACACATCGCCGCTGATTGGACGGAATCGGATTCTAAATAAAACCCCCCTTTCGAATCCCCCAACGGGCCGTTACGTCGTCCTTGTCCGCCGATGTGTTGCCCCCCTTTTGTTGTCCCGAAGGATTCGGATCCTTTTGTCCAAGATTCGACCAACGCGCGTCACGTCAAGTTTCTCGAAAAACTTCGAGGAATCGTCGAGCAGATTCGGTGTTATTACCGAACGGAGTCGAGGGTGGTCTTATTTTTTAGCGTAATCCTTTCCTCTTGGAGACCATTCGAATGTACACACAATATTTTAACGATGTATACAGAAACATCAAACGTTTTGCTCTGGGGTGAGAACAACGGAAACCATCAGAGATCTCTGGTTAGGGGATGAAATAAGTTCTGTTTTAAAGTCTATAGTTTCCTAGGACGTAGCAAGTAAGTACCCTCACGAGCAAACTCAGTTTACGCTTAGGGGAAAAAGTAGCGTAGGAGAAGAGACTTCTAGCACTTGATAAATTTATATCAAGTAGGTACTGAAAGAATGATTAAATTCAATATTAATTTGGCATAAATTAAGTATTTCCCGACATCAAGTGATAGAAGACTGTTCCTTCCCCTACGCCAGTTTTCCCTCTAACGGAAGCCGAGTTTACACGTCAGTGTACATACGTGATACATCTAGAAAGGTTTTCCATGGGCGGGACAACGTCGATCCTCCTCCGATTCTTCTTGGCAGTCGCGGTCGAATTCCCGATGACGGAGGGGGAGGAGATCAGCTGGGTGCCTTTCGGTAGCTCGGTTTATATTTATTGCGTGCTCACCCGATCCGTCTTGTCTCTCTTTCTCTGAGAAGAGAAGCACGCCGTGAGTCATTCGGTATGCCAATTGGGCGAGTGCCCCGATACGTGTGCGATGCAGGTTGCACAATTGAAGGAACACACACCTGATCGACAGAGGAGCTAGCTCGTGGGGTTATCCGCGATGGAACGCTCCACGGAACTCACGAATCCTTCGATATCTCTGAGATCGTTCTTCTATAAAACAGTCCACTAACCATCCAACAGGATAGACGAAGAAAATCTTGGTCATATTCGAAAACCAAGCAGAACCCAAGAACGTGTTCCCTAAGAGCCAACCGTATCTACCACCTATTCGGAACAGGAACGGTATCTTGAGATTTTCCAAAAAGGAATCGCTCGAATTAGCCCCAGGCGGTCTTGAAGATTTCTACGCGATCTCGAGCTGAAAAGAGGAAAAACGACGGTCAACAGAGGCCCCGTGGGCGGAGGATGCGACCCATTTAAGCGGATCCAAGCCGCCCGTGATCCGATCTCGTTGGGTGTCTCTCGACGGTGTTGGAGCGGCGACGACGACGGGATTCCGCAAAATCTCTTAAATCCCGTGGTGGGTGTCGGATCCAGAGCGTGGACCGGGGCAAATGAGGAAACGGCCAACTAGCCGAGTCATTTCCACCGTTTACCAGGGCCACTTTGCTCTATGCGAGGCCGGTGGGAGTCTCTTCATTCCTGGCAATTATTAATTATTCGACTCGCCTCGTCCGGATGTGCTTGCCGAATTTCGACCACTATTGTAGCTTTTCGCGTGTCACAATATGTGTTACTTGTATACTAAGTTAGTTAATGTAATCACCAACATAAAACGTCCAATCCTTATTCATTGTGATTAAAATCAAAATAGACCAAGTATGCCATACTCGTGTCGAGAAATAATGTTTCTTAAAAAAAGGATAGATTATATTCCCTAGAACCAAAAGTGGTTCATTTTTATTTTAATCACAATATACAAGGATTGAAATTTTTAGGGTGGTTTTGTGTATATTGTAAATCATACGCCAAATTCGGCAACCTTCCCTTATGTCCACCCGAAACACAAAAGAAACTCCGTTCCTTTCACTGTCCTCGGGCCGAAGCAACTTCTAAATTGTAAGCAATCGACCAAAGACTTACCGATACGCGCCCAAGCGTATCATCTTGCGCAACCACTGGACAGAACCGTGTATCGTTCTTGTTGCCCAGAAGAGGCCAGGATCGCTCGAACGATGTTCCCTATCCTAGGGAAGGAAAAGGAGCAACCATTCCACGTTACGACGCAAAAATCGCGACGTACGGTTAACGCGATCTCCACCAGATAGCGGCGGACCGGATGTATACGGATAAAGGGGTAGCAGAACTCGATCCGTGAAATTCCCCTTGCGTGGAATGCCTCTTTCCTCGCTGTTCTCTCCTATCCGCGGGGACCAGTCTTCGAGGATCTCTGTGCTTCTTGACGAGTCCTCGCGGGTTAATGGTACCAGTTTCATCGCGCGTACACTCGTTACGAAAACAATATAAAGGGACGTATGTACATGTGTACAGAACAGAGCGGGACACTGAGGTCAGCCGGAGTCCGTAACGTTCCTACTATGTCGGGTTCGTAAGGTCGCTTATGGAAGAACTGGTCCCTGTTGTTACGACATTTATAAACCTGTTTCGAAAAAAAAAAAAAAGATCCGTCGGGTCCGACGGTCGCGAGCAAACTCTGTTGCGCACGGCATCGATCGTGTTCCACAGAAACTCGACCGAAACAATTAGATACAGTAAATCGTTGATGAGTATTCGAGGGCTACTCGGCACTGAGTGTTCAGACGTCAACCCCATCCATTACGAGGCGTCCCATGTGGAATTAGTCAAGAACCCAGTGGTGGGGGATGACGGTTGAATACTTATAAGGGACGAGTCTTATTATATTTAATACTGGGGAATTAGAAATCTTCGAACACTCATCGATCATTTACCGTAGATATTTGGCACAGGATCCGAGACACTCTGTTTTTCTATCGACCAATGGAGAACGAGGGTTGTGTGAGACATTTTCTTTTTCTGGGATTGCAGAGGCACTTGGTACCGGAAGCTCGTCCTGGCACAGCGAGGATGGCGGAGCGAACTCGCGACGCGGAGGAGAGACACCGTCGTCTTGCGCGACGCCGACGTCGGCCAGTTTCCCGTCGGAACCGGAGGTCGACGCCGACGTCGGTGTGAACGTCGACGGGAACAACGGAACCGCGCCTTATCCATGCCAATTCTGCGATCGCACCTTTCCACGATTGAGTTATCTGAAGAAACACGAACAGGTAATTACTAGCCTTTTTATTCGTGTGTCCGAATTTTACAGTGATTCACGAAAGACTGTCACATTTCGTTGGACAGATCGTTTACCAAACTGCGAATTTTATTTTAATACTACGAAAAATTAATCAGAATGTGGTGATGAATGTAAAGACTATGAAAATATGTACTTAGATGGAATTGCAGAAGAATCTTTTATTATAAAAATTGGAATTAACCATCAATGTATGTCTACGTCGCTTTTTAGTAAAGCAATAAATGTGTAATAGTAAGACAAATTTAGAGGGCGTATATATACCCCTTTCGTAGTCAAAGGGTTAAAAAAATGGCGAAATATTTTTTTTATCTTCTATTTGTTATTCGGGATTTTTTGATCTAGATCATGAATTTGCCCATCTCTGTCAGACATTTATGGACGGTAGTGCGTAGATGATTTAAAGCCTTTGCGTCGCTCCGTTATTATTTTGCAAGGAGCGCTTCACCTTGTACGAATTATGTATTCGGGTAATCCGCTCGATTCCTAGGCAAACCTGCCTTTAAAACTCTTCCGAGAGAGAAGTTGTTCGAGAAGGCGTGGTGGACGCGTGGCCAATTCGAATTTTTCTTCCGTTTTGCATGGCGGTGGCATTAGAGGCTCTCGGTCTTCCGCGTCCCCGAGCCGACGTCTACCCGGGTGGAGGGGTCATCTTCGGGTCAGAATCTGTACCGTGGCCCATAACAGGTTGTACCGGTCAGGTAGTTCGTCCAGGTGGTTCGCCCGCTTCGGGGTTCCTCTCTCGACTTTTCAACCTCGATTAAAGCCGCTTCCACCATACGCGGCACGAATCGCAATTCCAGCTTAGAGATACGACCTCGATAACGGAGATAAATAATTTCGTTCAACCTTTTTCGGTACGAGGACACCAAAGCGAACGGAACGTTGCTCCTGACGGTCGAGGAGTCGATCCGTTGATGTGCCTGCTACGGCCATCGTTTTGTGAAACGTAATCAAAAAATTCTATTTCTATGTATACCATGCATCATTTATTAACATCAAAAACATCAATATCGTCGCCCGTGTTCTGAATTGCTCTAACTCTATTTTCGTCAAAAAAATTTAATCGAATTGATCTACGTGCGTCTCATTGGTCCGATGAATACAAATTCACCGTAATATAAAGCAAATGCAACCTAGAAACTAACATTCTTTTAAGTCAAGTCGTTCAACCATGAATCTGAAAAAAAAGAAAAGATAGAACCTTGGCTCTCTGCGTTCCGTTGAAATCTGTTAATCGTATCGAGTCTCTGTCGCGATCTCTTGATCCCCCTCGTACGATCGACAGGAATCGGAAGAAGTTTTCCTCATCGCTTTCACCGAGAAGTTTTTCCCGCGAGGCTTCCTTCCGGGGCGGTGTCATGGCAAAAGCAGAGGAGATCGCTTCGCCCTTCCGTCCGGATTGTCTCTTCAAAGGAGCCGACGAAACGGCTCGAAAGTCGTACGTGCCGAGCCTACTCCACCGCGGGACGGACACACACCGACTCGAAAAGAGAGCATCGCGTCGTCCCGCTAGGGGAAACAAAGACGAGGAAAATAAAAAAAAAACTGGACAGAGAGAATGACCCGACCCGTTCGCGATCATATCGGTCACACCGATCTACCTGGGTGACAACCACCGGAGGAACATCTTTCTGGCGAGAAGTTTCTTGCCCGTCGATTCCCCCCACACCTCTGCCCCTCTTTCTTCTTCACGAACCACCACTGGTATATGAGCTATTCCACGTCAAAACGCAGAGAATTATGGTCGCAGTGACCGATTTTTGAAAAATTTAAAACATTTCTCGATAACCACGAGAAAAATGAACTTTGTTAAATTTTAGCTTTCAATCTTGCACCGTTTCCAAGATATTTAATGTTAAAGTGAGAAAAAATTGGACGAAATCTGCCGACACTACATCACTTGAAGAAATCGCAATATTTTGCTTAGGAGAAAGCATTTTTTTAGTCTTAAAAATAACCAATATATTGCGATTGAAGCGATTTCGTCCAGTTTTTCAATACTTGAACATTAAAAATGATTTATAAAGGTGTGTGCAGTAGAGTGTGTGGATCACCTGAAACAATATATCGAAGTGACAGCAACTACATTACAATTTCATCGACGATGATCGGATGTCTTCTTATCGTTTCAGAGTCACGGCGATCAGATGCCCTACCGGTGCAGCTGGTGCGCGAGACTATTCAAGCACAAGCGCAGCAGAGATCGACACGTGAAGCTCCACACGGGAGATCGAAGATACCGGTGCACGCACTGCGAGGCTGCTTTCTCAAGGAGGTAAGCCAGGAAACCTTTAACCTTTTAACGCCCAGACCCTTAAATGGTTATTTCAAAATTATGTGACCATCATATATATGTTTTGTCTTGTTATTATGCTGTTGAAAATATCGGTATTAAACCAACCTATTTTCCTACTTTTATCAAATTTATGTTTAGCCATTTAACTTCCAAACACCTCTTTCAGGGAAAAAATTATTTCTCGCGATTAGTTAACCCGGTCACTGCATCTTTTAGGTGTCTTGAACAAGAATTTTTTCTTCCATGAAATCAAGAACCAGTAGTCATTTTAAGACTATTCAAAACATTCGTTTCCCTCGAAATATTCATTTCCTAGATCTGACGCATACGTCACACTGGGTGTTGAAGGGTTAACTCAGAGAACACCTCGGTCCCGCGATGACAGTAAATATCGAACCATCGTATACCGATTTTCCTTGCTCCATAACACCGGAGAATCCGATTTTGGGAAGAATGAATCATCCCACAGGTTCTGAAAGAGAGTGGTCAGTCAGGGGGCGGGGGGTGGGGGCAAAAGCCGGAAAGTGGAAAGAAAACAGAGGGCCCCGATATTCCGGGGGACCACCGATCCGGGGCGGTTGACAAATGAATAATGATCGTGCGACGACCGCGGACCCGGCTGGCATTAGTCAAGCTTACTTCTCTCACGTGTGAGACTCTTTTCTTTTCGTTCCACCGCCTCCCCAACGATTTCTCGACGACCTCTTTTCCTATCTTTATTTCTCCCCCTTTCGCGCGCGCATTGACTCGTCCGTATTGAAATGCTAAGCTGGTTCCCGCCGCAAGGGTGGTGGCGAACCGAACCGCCGCATCTTTTTCGTCTTCGAGCTGTGTTCCTTCGCACACACGGTCTCTTCGAGACATGGCACACACAGCCACGAGACACGGAGTGAATACGCGCAAGCGAGAAAAAGAGAGGCTCTCTGCGCCTCGCCTCGAGTCCAGGTGAGCGGACAGGTAGGCGCATAGGTGTTACGGGACAACAGGTAGAACATTAGTCAAGTGCCTCGTTCCCGGCTCTCTTCCGACCGTGCCTCGCGCGATTACGTCGCGCTTACGACCCCTTCGGGGGATTAGAAACCGGGACTCTCTCTCGACACACGAAAATCGCCCGATGAATACTCCTTGTAACCCACTGGACGCGAGTAGACAATTTTATCGTCGATCGTCTGCATAGATTTTTACTCGACTTGTGCCTTTTCTTTTCTAACCCTTTCAGACCTGAATTTTCTTTTAAGAGTGAAAAATATATTAGATTACATAGTTTAATTCAGTGGACTGTTTTAATATTTTGTTTTGAAAAAATGTTTTTATGTTCTTACGCTGGACCTAGTAAAATTATTTAGAACAGAACAAACGAAGGTGCCCACACTAGGTGGTAGACCTTGCAGTTAGTGTGACACTGTTTCGTATCCCAGAATTTTCTTGTTAGCACTAGAAGACGAGATAGAGAAAGGAGGTGGTAGAAATCGGGATTTCCCGAACGTCGCGAGACTGGAAGTCAAAGTTCTAACAGAGACTTTCGGCTGTCAGCCATTATTACAATCGCGTTGCCTGATCTTCACGCCACACGTCTCTATTCGTTCACTCCCACCTTGACAGTCGGCTTGGGTGACCCAACAAACGGGTGAAAACCCCCGTGGTTCTCGCATAGATCCCCGTAGCCACGGGGGATCTCGGTGCGCGGCGATGGAGATCGTCGGCGATCGATCGGCCCTGCTCTCGGTTCTTCTTTAGTGTCGTTCGCCACGGAAAGACAGAGGAAAAATTCCATGTATCTAAAGCCAATATGTATTGCGTTTGTTTAAACGACAGCACCTCACCTTTTATCTGGTACAATAAAATTGTAAGTTGTACAGATTACCACGAACTTCATAATAATGATAATAATTATTATTGTTATTGGAAATTTAAATTTATGAAATTGTACTTATGTACTTTACATGCTGATTAATTTTTGTTACAGTAATATAGATTTTATGTTTTCAAAATAAAATCTATACGTTGTAAAACGTAATTTTCATGTGACCAATATTCAATAATATTATTATCATTTGAAATTCGACTTTAATAGTTAGAAAATCTCTCAAGTATTCATTCATTGGTGCGTCGACACTAAATAAAGTTTCGGTCGAGAGCAGGAGGGCCACGAAACTGGGAGAACCCGCGAAAGTGAGAGAGTGACCGAAAGAAAGAGGCTGGCTGGGTGGAGCTCTTCTGGTCCATTTATTTCTATTTCCTCTCTTCCTGGCCCCTAGCATCGGCGCTCCACCCCTCACGGGGGATAATGACTGGCCATTTTTTTCATTCACAAAACACTCCGCCACGATTACCGTGACTGCCAGTTGATGGATTTACCCACGGAGTCATGCTCCAGAGGGCTCGTGTCGTCGCCGTGAAAGTGGAGCTGCAAGACAATTAAGGAAAAACTAAAACCAATACGAATGTTTCGGGCATTTCCTTCCCAGTTGCGTTGAATTTCCCCCTCCCTTATTTTCGCCCTGGATGGACGACACACGGAAACCGATACACGGTTCGGCTGATAGGAGGCGGGGTCTCCACCGGCCAGCCGATAATTCTGGCATATGAATTATTCAGTCGTAAAGTGCAAGAGCAGATTCGCTGGCCGTCCGTCTTCGTTTCTGGAAGTCGAGACACTGACCAGTCGGACCGCAACCTGCGCGACCTCGCCTTATAACGGATTTAGTTTTCCACCGACCGGAATGAATAATTCGTTCGTCCGTGATACGGCCCCCGTGAAAATTGTTGACCTCATCGTTCGTATCGCTTTTCCCGTCGGCACTCTTTATTTTTGGCCACGCGAGAATCTGACAGATTCCCGTGATTTCCGCCCTCCACCCTCTCTAGCTTTCATTTCGCCCCGTCCGTCGCGATTCGTCGACGATTTAGCGATCGGGGAAAAAGGGTGACCCGAAACGGACGACTTGTTTCTAATCATCGGATTTTCCTTCGTCCACGTTGACACGCAGATTTCTCCTTTTTCCAGTGGAAATTTAGTGCCACCTCTGCTCGTATACATCTTCATGTACGCCTATATGTATACACACTTTTTGTACGTTTTTCTTGTATAAACTTATGCTACCTTATATTAATACATATATTAATGTACACTAATGGATTTATCCCATTTATTGAATAAACAATAACGCCACAAATTATTCGATCTTCCCTTTAAACATCGATAAAAAAATGTCAGTGTTCCATCGAGTCGGCGTTAAGAGAAGAATAATCTGTGCTTTCAGCGATCACCTGAAGATCCACATGAAGACTCACGACACCCAGAAACCGTACCAGTGCACGGCCTGCTCGAGGGGATACAACACAGCGGCTGCGTTAACGTCGCACATGCAGTCCCACAAGAAACACCATCAGTCCCACGGACCGACGAAGCACCAGGACATGGACCACGGCAGACGAAGCGTGTCCTCTCATAGCACGTCGTCACCGCCAGTCCCGAGTTCCCCGTCGCCGTCCTTGAATCTAGTACTGAATCCAAAAGCCGGACTGAAAAGTTGTCACGGCAGCGCGTCCAGTACGCCGATTCTTCTGACCTCGCCTTTGAAACTGGCTTGCATGTACTGCACAAGAGACTCGTTCAGTTGTATGCAACAACTGCAGATGCACGTGCACACGATGCACCAGGCGATTCTGAGCGGCGAAACGATGGCGATACCTCCGTCGCCCAGCAGGAGCGGCGATCAGCTCGTCTATCAGCGGGACAAAGCTTCGTTGGATCGATCCGAAGGATCGTCGAAGGATCACGAGAGGAAGTACCAAGAGGAATCGGAACGATCGACGGAGAAGGATCGCTACGAGCCTGCGTTCACCTGTAACCAATGCACCATGAAGTTCTCCGGATTGGGCTCGCTACGGGACCACCTGGTCTCGATCCATCGAACCGACGGTTTCGAGTCTGCGCTGATGATGTGCCCGCTCTGCGGAATTCCGTGCGCTTCCGCGGCCGCGTACGCGGAGCACTATGTCCTACAACATTGCGAGAATCGTCGAATAGGTCCCGTGGACGGTACCGAGTACGGAGACCCGAAGATCAACGGGAGTTACGGCGGGGACCGAAAGATCTCGAGGAGCCAGAAGACCCGAGAATCGATCTCCGAGCCGGCCGATCTCACCAGCAAACATTCCAGACCCACCGAAAGCAGCTACACCGCGGGAACTCTGCTCTGCGGCCAGTGCGGCGCCGCTCTGAAGGATTTCGAATCGTTCAGGGAGCATCTAGCCAGGCATCTCCAAGCGAATCACAGGCAAGACGTTGTCAGGCATCCGTGTCCGAAGTGCGACGCCACGTTCCAGGATCGAGAAGACATGCTGGTGCATCTGACCAAGCATTATCTCGGTCAGATCAGCAAAGAGTACGCCTGCGGGGCCTGCAAGAAGCTCTACCCTCATCCAGATCTCCTCCAGAGGCATCTACTCGACAGCCACGCCCATCATTTGTACAGGTGCGCGTTATGCAGGGACACGTTCGACTCGAGGGTCGCGATACAGGTTCATTTCGCCGTGAAACACAGCCAGGAGTGCAGGATCTATCGGTGCAACGCGTGTACCGTTCCCAACAACGAGAACTCGCCGGGAAACGCGCCGGCCGGCGAGGGCAGAAGTTTCTTCAGAAGCGAATCCGAAATGGCGAACCATGTCAGAAACGTCCACGCGCCTCCCACAGTGTCGAACAGCAGCCCCGTGGCCAGAAGTCCAGCGTCCACGCCCGGTGTTACTGGAAACACACCGCCGAGATGCGTTTTCTGCGGGATCTGCTGTAATTCCGAACTGGAACTGCAACTTCATCTGGCTAGCCATTCGACAAGCTTGTACAGGTGTCCGATTTGCAGGGAGGGCTTCGCTGTTGAATTCTTGCTCGACAGACACATGGCCCAGGCGCATCATTCCAACGATCATCGGAGTGTTAGAAGCGCTTCCAGGGAAAACGGACGGATCGGGAGACCCCCTAGGACTCTAGAGGAGGTGGGTATTCGAATGCAGTAAATCATGGATGAGCGTTCGAAGCCTCTCCGTCACTGAATATTAATCCTTCGAACACTCATCGAAGATTTACTGCACTTCGATGCTTTAACCCTTTCAAACCCTTCACCGTAAGAGTCTTCTTCGTAGAGTAACGCGTCTGTCTTCCTTTCTCTTCAGCCAAAGTCTCAGAAAAGAGGTCGTTCTCCAGCCTCCAGCAACAACAACTCCCTAAATCAACGGGACAACAACAATAAACGACCGAACTACACCAGTACAGGAGGGCAACAGCAATGCGAGCTGTGCGAGACAGGCGAATTCGCGAACGAAGCGGAACTCCAGGCCCACAAGAAGCTCGCTCATACTCCAGCGAAGCTTCAGAACAAATCCTTGTCGAACCTGAGCATGAGCTGCGCGTATTGCGGCGAGGTGTGTCGCTCGAGAACCGAATTGGAGTCCCACACGAGGATTCAGCACGCGTCGAACGAGCCTGGTGGACGTCACAAGTGCAACATCTGCGACGAGGTGCGTCTAGGGATAAACTTTTAATCGATATTAAAAGTACTCGGTATCTACACGAATGTATCGATTATTTACTTGTATTTACTTGGACCGGTTCATCCCTAGGTGTGTCCATCCGGTGCAACACTGGCCGAGCACAAGCTGCAGAAGCATTGCAAGATCCAGTTGAGCGACACGTGTGTCGTCTGTCGCGGAAACTTGTCGTCCGAGGGCCAGTTCCTCGAGCACGTCCAAAGACACAGTCTCGAGACGGTGGATCCCCAACAAAGACTGGACGGTTCTCTGCCTCATCTGCCCGCGGCCTGTGTCGTCTGCAGGCAGACGTTGATCAGCGACTTGGAGTGTCGTCTCCACGCCAGGCATCATCTAAGAGCTTCCACGGGCGCCCAGAACGCAGGTTCTAGTCCCAGTCCTAATCAAAAGAGTCAGAGTCCCGGTTGCTGTCTCTGTCTCAGAGATTATTCGGCCGATGACTTTGTCAGTCTACCACCGAGCCACGTCAGTAGCGGAGGACAATCCCTCAGGGTTTGCAAGTCTTGTTACGTTCGTCATTCGCAAGGTCTGCCTATCCTGAACTCGCCGTACGAGCATGCGAGAGGGAAAAGCGACAGGGGATGGGTCTCTGGTGGTAAAGAGTCCCAGTGGACCGGGCCCAGATGGGACTCCGAGAGAGTGTTCAAAGCAGAGGATAGGACAGACGAAGCGAGCGATAACAAGAGGTGTCAGGATTGTGGGGTGAAGTTCGAGGACCCTGAAGAGATGGAGAAACACAGGCTCGCGGAACACGAGAAGGTCGGAGCTGGATCGAATACGTACACCTGTATACAGTGTCAGGTAACGGGGAATATTTTTCGAAGGCATCGAGGATCGTTTAAAATTTTACACGTGAGAATTTATATGTCCGATAATCGTGTTTGTGCTCACCGATGAAACTGTATGTTCGTTATTAGCCCTCGATTTGTATCTGTATGATTTTTATCGAAAATTTACTGTCTCCCTCAGATGTCCTTCCCGTCGGAAGCAAAGATACAGCAGCACGTGAGAAAGGAACACCTAGAGGCCACGGGGAAGTCCTCTGTCGATGCATTGCGATGCCACCTGTGTCTTTACGAAGCCAGCAGTCCCCTGCAATTGCAGAGCCATTTGATAGAGCACACGTTCGCCGGGTGTGCTGCTCTCAGCTGTTACATATGCCAGTCCCTTTTCACCGCGCCTATTGGTCTTCAGGTGCTGCCTTATAAAAATTCTAAAAAACAAAAAAAAAGAAAATTCTCCCGGATGATCTTCGTCGACTGAACTTTAACAAATTTTTACAGAATCACATGCTGCAAGAACACGGCCTAGGCGCCCGTCCCTATGACTGCTCCAAGTGCACTCTCAAGTTCTTCTTCAGAGCCGAGCTGGACCACCACGTGCTGACGTTCCACCGACCTGGTGAGATCTCGCCGCCTCACGAGGGTGTTCCGAATGTAACAGAAACGAAAGCAACGGATTCTGAAAAGCAAAACTGCGAAGGCGTTGGGGTCACGGTGAAAGAGGAAATGTTACCAGACGTATGCGAAGAGGAGGAGGAAATCAATGTCGACGAACAGATGGAACACGACGAGACAGACAAGGATGTTGAAGCGAAACAACAATTGAAAACCGAAATCGACGTGGACGAAACTGTCCTTCCCGAGAAGACGGAATCGTGACTCCCTTGAAGAGAGGGTATCCGGAATTATTACTTCGGGAAGCTTGATCGGATAGTATTTGAGCCTCTGTGAGGTTACCTTTGTGGATAAATCGGATGAACGAATATACCATCTGTATTAGAAATCATCGAACAGGTACTTGAAGTAACGAACAAAAATAGTCGACGAATAAGAGAATGAAAAAAAATCTCGTTTTTAGAGGTAAATTTTTTAAGATAACTTTAATGGAGTCTAATGGCGATCGAATGATTTTACGTGTTGAGTGCTGTTTGAAGAGTACCAAGATGAATGTAAGTTTTCTTGAAGTTGAAACTGTTTTGCTCTCTCACTGATCGTTTCTTACCGTAACGAAATATATTTAAAGTTCTGTGGATGTACCGTTTCCATGGACTGCAGGTTATTGTTTCGCGTGAATTTTTTTATGCATAGTGTTATTCCAATAAAATCAATGGAAATCAAAGGATCGTAGACACGGAAGAACAACGATATTGAAAGCCGGAATTCTATCAAAACCTAGATTGCAAAATCATTTAGAAAGATTTTTAAACTTCGTTTTCGTCACCAATCTTATTGTAGAAGTTGATCTTCGAGCTCTACACGATACTTTTGATTCTGTTCCAAATCCTAGGTATAAGTTGCCGCGTTGGAATTTCGTTGTTCCGTTGATTGCACAAAACGTTAAAAGGAAGGTGTCACGATTATTTTAAAAAGATAATTTTAATCTTTGAACTTTCCATTATAAATAGTGTGCCCTGGAACGTTCAAATGACTCGATGAACACTTAAAATAATTAATTATTCGGGATTAACAAAGAGCAATTTAAAAGTTACCGTTATATTATAGGGTGTTTGTTTTGTTATTTCGATTAGTGTGATCAATATGAAGCACATTTATTTCATTTACATCGATTGTTAACATTATTGTGTGATGTACGATCATATTTTATTCGTTTGAAGTGACGACGGGCGATTTTGCTCGAACGAGTTTGTAACATAAGAAACGTGTTGTTATTTCTTATTGAGAGAACAAGGCGAGCATCCCGGATGGCTGCGATTCTGTAAATACGTTGAATAGTATTAGAAACTATTATTCATCGTTTGATCGATACATCGGTACCGTAATCAGTAAGTATTTAAAGGAAGCAGATGCAATAACCTGTCCACTAGGCTTAGCGATACGATAAAATAGTTCATTACGAAATAAATTATTGTTTTAAATCACCGAACTTTATTAGAAGAACTTTTCCCTCTCCATTGTATAACTAGAAGCGTTTAGAATCGACCAACAGCTCAGTTATCAATGGCTAGAAAGGTAAGTAACCAATAAGGGTCATTCGCCCTGAGGAAGTTGGAGTGATAAGACGCAAAGTGAATTCACTTCCGCCAAATGTACGCGATCATTACTTCTCACATCAAATCATTTCTACCAATTATTAGTTTTTACTTCGTTGTCATTAGTTTTCCTTCGTTATCACTAGTTGTCAGTAATTAGTGGTTAGTGGGTGTTGGTGATTAAGAGACCATCAAATCTACTAACCACCGTCCAGTAACTACTAAATCTACTAACCACAATCTCGTAAATAAAGAAAATCTACTAACCACCGTCCAGTAACTACTAAATCTACTAACCATCGTCTCGTAAATAAAGAAAATCTACTAACCACCGTCCAGAAACTACTAAATCTACTAACCACCATCTCGTAAATAAAGAAAATCTACTAACCACTAACACACAGTAACTACTGGACGGTGGTTAGTAGATTTTCTTTATTTACGAGACGGTGGTTAGTAGATTTAGTAGTTACTGGACGGTGGTTAGTAGATTTTCTTTATTTACGAGATGGTGGTTAGTAGATTTAGCAGTTACTGGACGGTGGTTAGTAGATTTTCTATATTTACGAGATGGTGGTTAGTAGATTTTGCAGTTACTGGACGGTGGTTAGTAGATTTTCTATATTTACGAGATGGTGGTTAGTAGATTTTCTTTATTTACGAGATGGTGGTTAGTAGATTTAGTAGTTACTGGACGGTGGTTAGTAGATTTTGTTTATTTACGAGATGGTGGTTAGTAGACTTAGTAGTTACTATATCTACTAACCACCATCTCGTAAATAAACAAAATCTACTAACCACTAATTCCCCCATTTTTCCCGCGCTATTTGAAAAATCCAAGAAGGCGAGAAAACGGTGGGGCCATAGAACCCCAGAGAATACGCCAGACAACCCCCGTGGGTGGAAACCTGGGGTCATAGAACCCCCGGAGAATACGTAAGAGACACCGCGTGGTGTGCCAGATGTATGTACTATATCTGCCTGCATTCCCCATGCATATTAGTCACTTCACTGCTTCACGCCATACCCTTCACGTGTAGTTCACATTTGGACAACTCTTACGACGTTGTGCTGACAGCTTTCGTCTTGACCAAATACTCGATTTGTAGCTGAAAGAACGTAGATTAATCCCCTGTCATTGAAAATACCAATCAACGTTCAGAATACTGTTTAAATCATCTTTGTTTGCAACGGTTGCCACTGTAATTCGTA